CACACACACACACACACACACACACACACACACACACACACACAAACTGAGTGTCCTCATGAGGACTCAAATAACACTTCACTCGTGAACCTCACTGCATGTGAAGGTCCCCAATTTGTAGAAGTGTCCCCACTGTGATGTGTAAAGGCTCGGTCCTCATGTAGCAGGAATGTGAGCACAAACACACACAGTGAGGATTTGATGAAATATGATCTGGATGGCTCACATTCCCCAAACGTCTGAAACACGTAAACACTGAGATTTACTGGGAAAACGTGCAGAGGAGGGGCCTCACACCGAGAGCTGCTCTGTGATTGGTCAGTGTGCTGATGGACTGTTTGACTTTGACCTTGACTGCACAGTTCAAAGGTCAGCACGCAGAGCACTGAATGGAAACCACCACAGAAGAAGAGCAGGAGTGTTACTGCATCAGTGCAGCTGCTGTGTAACTGGTGTGCAGATAGAATCAACAGTACTGCAATGTCAGTATTGCAGTATGAGAAGTATTAGAGGAGAGTCTCACCTGTGCTCTGGGTGATGTAAACTGAGTGCAAACAGTGGACGTGCAGCAGAAAGGTGATGATCAATAATCCACAGCGACGCTCCTCCATGCTGACAGTGAGGCTCTCTGTGAGGCAGACACACTGAGACTAACTGCTGAGCAGACTGAGCTCGGACAGACACTCCTCCACTCCGTCATTATCTCCTCCCTCTGACTGCCGTGTGCAGCACGGTCCTTCCCCTCCAAGCTTTCTGAAGGTCCTGGATCTGGTTTCACACCAACAGTACGGGACAACAGCTGACCCACACACACACAAACACATGAACTTGTTCTTCTATCCTTGTGAGGACCCCAAAAACCTGAACCTGTGCGGATCAGGGACCTGACTTTGTTTGGGTCTGTGAGGCATTTTTATATTGATGAAAGATTTTGATTGGTTGAAGAAATGCAAATGTCACAAGCACTGCATGGTTTTTTAGTTATTAACCTCATCAAAGTGCTCCCTAAAACAGTGTTTATTACTTTTTAAACAACAATATTCAAGTTTGTCTGAAGCAGTGGCTCCACCTGCTGGTGAGCAGCTGCACTTACACTCAGAACAGTAACATGAACTCCATGAAGCTTGAGTCGTAAAAACAAAAGTGTTAGTAAGTGGACGGTTACGGAAGCATAGAGCTGTATCACATTATAACATGAAACCTTTATTGTTCTAACATATGGTTTCATGTTCGTACAACTTATTATCATGTTATTACAATATTGTAATAACATGATAATAAGTTGTACGAACATCCGTTATAATAATGTTTTTTATTGTGAGAGCTGATGTCAGAGCTTCCTGCTGATGGAGCAGCAGCTGCTCTCAGCACTGAATGATCTTTGGTCTGCACAGGGGTGTCCAACATCAGGCCTGGGGGCCACAACTGGCTTGTCAAAGACCCCCACCCGGCCCACTGGACATCTTTGGAAAATGTAAATGAGGCCAAACATTTAGGAACTTTCACAGGATTTTATTATTTTACAGCTTTTCTGATATAAACCCCACCGACCGACGCTCAGCACCAGCAGGAACAGGCGAGGTCCGAGGAACCAAAGGACGTCCCCACAGAGCTTTCTCGGCTGATACCCCAACCCTAAAACTCCCGGCGTGTCCACCACAGCTTCCCAAACACTCGTCCCGTTTCCTCGCTGATTCCCGTCGTCACCGCTTTGAAGGAAGTCTTTGACTCGAACGCTGCTCGTCCTAAAATAGTGTTCGCTTGAAGCACTTTTACCCACTCCGGTTCTACCGAGGAGGACAATGGTGAGATCTGGATCCATGACCTGAGAACACACACACACATTTCTGCTGTCATTTGAGTTTCTCTGTGTGTCTGTGTGTGTTTCAGAAAACTGCTGATCCTGAACAGGAAGCAGACAAAGTCCAGTCAGTCAACATCCACCAATCACAGTCAGACATTCAGCTCTCTGAAGAGTTTGTCCAGACGGCTGGCTGTGCTGCAAAAACACCCACAGCAGATCTGTACAGTGATCCTGGGTCTCAGCTTTAACATGTACCTGTGCTTCATGCGTATTATGTCCATGTCCCCGTGCATGTGCATGTGCATGTGCATGTGCCTTCTCTCCATTCCCTCACTCAGCCAGTTCATTCCCGTAGACCGTACATATAGGTCCAAGTGTTTTCCTCTGTTCTCTGAGATGATGTTCTCTACATGACGGAGGAACTCTCTGACCTGCTTTCTGTTTCCTTTCTGATTATTGTCAAACACACAGAATCTGTCACGACTCATGGAGACCAGTGCAGACACACAGCTGTTAGACTGGATCATCTGATCAATGGACCGACCTCTCAGCTCATCTCCGTGGGTGAAGAGCACCATGGAGAAGTTACTAGGATGATCATAAAACATCTCTCTGAGAGCGGTGAGGAGCGCAGAGTCTTCCCTGGACATCCTGCCTATCCTGACCACGAACACCACGGCGTGAGGTCCTGGATCAGACTGTTCTTCCATCATCCTGAGTCGTTTTTCCAGCTGATCTTCATCCAAGTCTCTGGCTGTGAATCCTGGAGTGTCGACCACGGTGATCCAACAGTGCTCCACTGCTGCTGACCCAGAGACCACCTCAGCTGGGACCGGTTCAAACCCACATCCTGTCGGGAACCGCTCCGATCCCAGGATGGTGTTTCCTGCTGAGCTCCGCCCTCCTCCAGACAGACCAATCAGAATGACTCTCCTGTCCACCAGTGTGAGAGACTCCATGAGACGATCACCTGGAAGAGAAACACGCTGATGTTAAACTGCAGCCACGATGAAGGACCTGAGAGCTTAAAGCGCCCTCTGCTGGACAGCAGCAGAGACGCAGCAGAGCGTTCAGCCGAGGAGCAGTGAGTGAAACCCTGTCCAAGCTAACATGGAGCTTCAGGCAGGAGCAGCTCAGTGAATAATTACATGTGAGGGTGTGTTTGTGCTGGAGCTGTGCGATATGACCAAACTCTTACATCCCGACACACATCTATCGTCCCGACAACGATATTAATCACAAAATTTACATTTCTGTAAATTCAGTGAATCTCGATCAGCTCGACCTGTGTGAAGTGTTTCCAGCTGGGCGTCGTGGAGTCGAGTGTTTTGACCGATGCATGAAACTAGACTTTTTTAGAAATATGTTGGAACGGCTGCCATTTTCTTTGTATTTATCACGTGGCGTGCTGCGGGGAAAAGCCTGTTCTAACGTTTGAGTCTAAGGTGCATCTGGAGCACCTGACGGCTCTGTTTGCTTCTCACCCGTGAACTCTCTCCACACTCTGTCACGTGACTCTGGCGTCGGTGGTAGCAGAGGTCGTGCGAGTCTGAGGTGAGGCCGCTTTGCTGCATCGTTTGCATCGTACAGTTTTATGGGCCGTGTCAGACTTTGGACTGGTGCTTCTGTTTGGAGCTACCTGGTTCTGCCTCATCTTCACTGGCCATACTGGGATTCTCTGTGCCGTGGTGACCATCCAAACCATGAAAAATATTGAGTGAACAGTGGATTTTGTGACACCACGAAACAAACGGTGGTGTGTAATATGAAACGAGAGATGTTTTAACTTCATCATGTCGTCATATCGCACAGCTCTAGTTTGTGCACCGAGTTCAGAGGAATGAGGCTCAGCGAGGTCATACATGAGTTTCCTTTGATGTGCAGATGAAACCTAACATCTGTATGTCACAGGTATGTGCTGCGTTACACACAAACACACATCATGTTACAGACATGGACATCCGGCCCTGAACACACCAATCAAACTTCCTGAGGATCTAAAATCATCTTTTCCTTCGTGCAGTCATTAAATATGTGTGCACGGATCAGCTGATCCATGCTGACACACGTGGGTCATGTGACATGTGGATTTTTGGGACTTCTTTAACAGATAAATACATGCTGCGTTCAGGGTCCTGAGGAAAGCTGGGACACTCGAGGTTTTCCTGTCTTAGTTCCCCTGAACGCAGCATGCTGTCACAGGCTCGGTGTAGAAGCATATGAAGGTTATCACAGGGTTTAAATGAGCTGCTGTGGGCAGACAGGAAGCTGTGAAGGTTACCTGCTTTCTGCAGCAGCTCTCTGACCTGCTCTCGTCCTCCTCCTTCATTGTTGAACAGGTGAGTCCTCCCTGCGAACCTCTGCACCACCTGATGGAGAGGACCTGCTTCATCTTCAGAAACAAAGTCCTGCAGACTTTTGTCCTTTAAGGCGTCTCCTCCTGTGAACAGCAGGTAGCTGTTCTCAAACCGCCGAGGCCCGAGGACTCTGATCGCCGTCTCCACGGCACGCCGGTCCTCCTCGGTGAACCGACCGACTCTGACCACCACCAGGGACAGAAGAACAGGTGTGGAGGAACGGGGCAGGCCCAGGTAGTACTTTTCAATCAGCTCCTCTGATCCTAAAAGTCCTGGAGTGTCGAACACTGTGATCCGCTTCCCAAACCTCTGTCCCGTTTCCTCTCCGATTCCTGTCGTCACCGCTTTGAGGGAAGCCCTCGACTCAAACGCCGCTCGGCCTAAGATGGTGTTTGCAGAAGCGCTTTTGCCCACAGCGGTGTTTCCCAGCAGGACGATGGAGAAACCTGGACCAGAACAGACAGAAGGAACACGATGAAGAGCAGTGACAGGTAAACAGCCCGTCTGCACTCACACTGCTGCTGCCTCACAATCAGCCTCATTACTCCACGCAGCTACAGCCTCGTGGCTGAGAGCACGACGCCCTCTGAGGGCAAACGTGGGGCTCGTACTGATGTTATGATTATTACTCCTCATACTGAGGTGACGACACTGATGTGTCCAAAACTGAACGGACTAAATGTGAACGGTTCTTATAGATTCACTGCTTCTGTCTAACAGTGATCCATCTGATCTCTGACCACCTGACCTCTGACCTGTTTCCAGCAGGTCAGAGGTCAGGATGACAGACCTGAACTCTCACCTGTCTGCCTGCCTCACCTGAGGAGAGCCTGGGCTTGTTTCTAACGTACCTTCTGCTTTGAATCTCAGCAGCTCGCGGGTCCTGTGGCGTTCAGCCTTCATCAGCAGCTCTCCCACTTGCCTCTTGTCTTCAGGCTCTTCATTGTTGAACAGATGATACCTGTCCCCAAACTTCTTAACGACGTCTTGGAGTGGGCTTCTCTTAGACTGGCTGATGTGATCCTGCAGTGACACGTTCAGCTCATCTCCACCTATGAAGAGCAGGAAGCTGTTTGCCAGACCTTCATCGCCAAGGACTGTGATGGCTGCCTGCACAGCCTCCTCTTCCTCATCTGTGAAACGACCAGTTGTAACCAGCACCAGGAACAGCAGAGGGGTGGAGGACTGCAGGAGACCCTGGCAGAAGGTTTTCAGTTCCTCTTTTGATCTTTCAATTCCCGGAGTGTCGATCACTCGGATCAGCTTTCCTGAAATCTCTTCTGTTTCCTCTTGGATTCTCATCGTCATCGGTTCCCACGATTCACTCAACTCAAACGCTGCTCGTCCTAAAATCGTGTTACCAGAAGCGCTCTTTCCCACTCCGCTGCGTCCCATCAGGAAGACGGTGAGATCAGGATCTGGAGACTGAGCCATTCCTGGACCCAGATGTTGATCCACCGACAGTCTTCTTCCTCCTCCTTAGGCAACACAGAGGTCAGAGTGATGAAGAGCAGTATAATCACAGTCCTGTGTCACACCTGAGTGTGTGAGTTCAAGCACAAACACACATAAGTGCACTCGTTCTTCATTTTAGTTGTTATGGAGCAGCGGCCCCCACCTCCCCGTGCAGTCAGCCTTCAGAGTGCAGGTATGCAGTCTCTGCCGTTGGTTTGCACTCCCCGTTTCAAATCAACCTGCAGAACAGGACGAACTGGTGCACACGGGCCCTCGGGTAAAACGGTGACAGTCGCAGTGAAAAGAGAAGGTGAGCTTTCCTGCTGCTGTCCTCACTCTCAGAGCGTTAAATATGAGGCGAGACCCTTCTGAACTCTGTCCTCTCTGGAGGAGGCAGCTCGTGACTCCGTCCAAACTACTGTAATCCACCTCTGTAACCAGTAGGTTACAGGTTATGCTCTGGAATCTGAGTACTTTACACGTTTCCCTGTCAGCGCGCACCTGTATGACATTAACAAACCCGGACCGGTAACAACCGCAGCTGCAGCGCCGGGACCGCCCGGACCAGCGCTGGTCCCGGTCAGTCCCGGTCACTGTTGGACTCCCCTCCTCATCATCTTACGGGTCCGACACAGACCTCTCTGCGCTAGTGCGACGCTCTTCACTGTGGTCCGCGTCCCCACAGGACCGGAAACACAATAGCTCCTTCAAAATAAAACAACTTCTTAAACGGAACTCTTTAAAAACTTGCACGCAACATCAGCCCGCGATTTGCCGTGAATACTATTCTTCTAACTCAGGGGTGTCAAACATAAATAATTAGGCAATAGTTAAACAAATAAATAATGGAAAACTTCCTGTTTTCTTTAAACTATCCAGTATACCATGTATTCTCTCTCTTTTTTTTTTTACAATCGATCTTTTTCTTACAGTTTAGGACCAAACAGTCATGCTGACACTACAGCAGCATTTCTTTACCGTGTAGACAAACTGAGACGTCATTTTAAAATTACACTTCTTATTCTTCTTATTTGAATTTATCCCACAGATTAAATGCATAGTTAGACTTTGTTACACTAACAGAAAGGGCAGTTTTACTGGTCCGGCCCACGTGAGATCAAAGTAAGTCAGTTTAAAATGAGTTTGGTGACAGACTGCAAAAGGTCGAAAGCATAGAGCAGGTTTGAAAACATCCTTCTCCAGTGGTTTAGTAGGACAATATACATTAATATCACCAACAATGAAAACCTTTATATATATATCTAACATATTTTGGAGTTATTTAGTTGGACAGTAAATAACAAAACAGGATGACTGCTACCAAGCTCAAACATATTTAGTTCAGAACTAGAAAAGGTAAATACATTTACTGTGTATGGTTTAGTTAGTGTTGCTATGACAAGGTGTTGTGGCTGTGTAGCTCCTGTGAAAACTAAGGTCTC